TGGAGTTTTTTTTTTCCAGAGAAGTCGAAAGGTTTTCAAATTTCGAATTTAGTTACTTCTTGCCTTTCGTTTTGCGGGAGGTCACTTTTACCAATATCCTAAATAGGCTTACATAAACTATATGCATAATAAAATTTACAAAAGATTTATCGCTAAACCAAAAATAAATGTAAAAATAATAAGACTAAAAAAAAAAGAAAATACAATATCACAGTTGAAGTTGTTTGTTTGATTTTGGGCTAAAATAAAAAAATTTTCCGTTTTCAACTTCTCTTTGTAATTAAAAAAAAAAAACACGTTTTCGTTTTCTATTTTTGAAGCAAATGAAGGCTAGATTATACCAAATATAATTTAGGATATGTTTGAATTATTTTTTATTATTTTAAAGGTAAATATTATTTTGATTGATGTATTTTTAGCCTTAGTTTATTTCAGTCTCGTATTTTTTATTTTTCTACGTTTTAGTTTATATACTTTAAAAATATTCATTATTGTCATTTTATTTTTCCGTCCCTTTACTATCGCTTTTATCTCATTTCTTCCAATCATAATTTTAACATGACATGTCACTCACTAAATTTCTTAAAATGCAATTATAAATTTGTATTAAAAGATCTTTATTGTATATAAGATTTGTGTTGAAATATTGTAAATAAGGATCAAATTGGTCATTTTTTAAAAGTATAGGGATAAAAAATAAATGTTTTGAAAGTGTACAAACTATAATGAAAAAAAATTAAAAGTAAATAGACTAAAATGAATATTTTGAAAGTAGATGAAAAAAATGAACCAAAGCCCAAATAGAAGAATGAAAATAGTATTTAAACCAAAAAAAATTACCTTTAAATGTGATATTAAGATTTATTAGAAGTACACATACTAAATTTAGCCAAGGGCCGCTCAAGATGATGTGAGGCCTTAGACAATAATTTAATAGAGAAGCCTTAATATATATATAATAAAGTTGATGTTTATTTGATTATATGCTTTATTTTCAACCATATCATTATCTATTATTTTTGTTTCATATTTTGATTTGTCTATACTTATAATTTATTCTATTATTTTACCATTTTTATTACTTTTATTTCAATAACAAATTTATCGAGAGCACCCTTTTGAGATTCAATCCATTTTTATATTCTTTTTCATATTCAAATTCATATTTTATTGTAGGCATGTTGATTTTCTAAGTAAATCTAAACAAATCTTAGAAATTAAGTTATTAAACAATCAACAAGATGAAATAAACTTTTTTAAAAGTAAAAGAATTTGAACGAAAATACCTAAAACTTTGAAGCCGCTAGATTGATTTGAGCAAATAAGAAGTTTTGATTGCTACTTCGATAATCACACCTGGAGGAGTTACGAGACCACAGAAGATCATAGATAAAAAATTGAGACTGGAGAGCTGAAAAGAGAGTTAAATTTAAAATAAATCTAACTTAACTTAAAATAAATCTAACTTATCCAATATATTTATGGAGTTCTTTTTTTTTTTAGAGAAGTTAGGTTTTCCAATTTCCAATTTAGTTATTTCGGTCATTTATAACAATATCCCAAATTGTCTTACATAAACTCTATGCATAATAAAATTTACAAAAATTTTATCACTAAACCAAAAATAATAAAATAAAAAAAAATACAATATCACAGTAGAAGTTGTTTGTTTGATAATTTAAAAAAACACGTTTTTTATTTTTATTTATTTTTTTTTGAAGGAAACGAAGGTTAGATTATACCTAATTCAAAATAAAAGAATGAAAATAGTATTTAAACTTTAAAAAAAAAAAACATTAAACTATGCATGATCATAACTAATATTAAGATTCATTAGAAATATACCTACTAAATTTAGCCTAGGGATTACTAAGGATGATATGAGATCTAGGCAATATTTTAATAGAGAGGCCTTAGTAGGATAAAGTTAAAGTTTATTTCATATTGTCTGTTTTATTTTCATCCATATCATTATCTACTATCTTTATTTCATATTTTGATTTTCCTATACCTATTATTTATTCTATTATTTTATCATTTTAATTACTTTTATTTTCAATGACAAATTTATCGAGAGCACCCTTTTGACATTCAATCTATTTTTCTTTACTTTTTTATATCCAGATTCATATTTTATTGTACTCATTTATTTTCTAAGTAAGTAAATCTAAACAAATCTTAGATATCAACCTATTAAACAATCAACAATATAAAATAAATTTTTATTTTTTAAAAAGTAAAAGAATTTGAACGAAAATACCTAGAACACTTTGAAGGCGCTAGATTGATTTGATTAAATAAAAAGCTTTGATTTTTATCGATAATCACACCTGGAGAAGTTGTTGTGGGACTACAGATAATCAAAGATGAAAAATTGAGACCTGAGAGAAACTGAAAAAGGGAGAGAGTTAAATTTAAATTAAATCTAAACTACCTAAAATATTTATGGAAATTTTTTTTAGAGAAGTTGTAAGGTTTCCGAATTTCGAATTTAGTTTTCTTGCATTTTGTTTCGCTGGTGGTCAATTTTACCCAAATCCCAAATTATATATAAAATTTACAAAAATTGTATCACCAACCCAAAAATAAATATAAAAATAATAAGATTAAAAAAATACAATATCACAGTAGAAATTGTTCGTTTGATCTTGTAGTAAAATAAAATTAATTTTTTCCGTTTTCAAATTCTCTTTGTAATTTAAAAAAAAAACCATTTTTGTTTTCTATTTTTTAAGAAAAGGAAGCTTAAATTATACAAAATATAATTTAGGATATGTTTGAGTTGTTCAATATAATTTAGGATATGTTTGAATTGTTCTTTATTATTTTAAAAGTAAATATAATTTTGGTTCATGTAATTTAGCTTTAGTTTATTTTTCTCCAGTATTATTAATTTTTGTTCATTTTAATTTATATACTTTCAAAACGTTCATTATTGTCATTTTACATTTTGGTCCATTTATTATCATTTTTATCTCATTTCTTCCTATCATAATTTTGACATGACATCTTACTCACTAAAAATTTTAAAATACAACTATAAATTTGTATTAAAAGGTCTTTATTTTGTACAATATTTGTGTTGAAATGTTGCAAATAATTACTAAATTGGTCATTTTTTAAAAGTATAGAGACAAAAAATGAACGTTTTGAAAGTATAAAGCTTTAGTGAACAAAATTAGGAGATTAATCTGAGTTCTCAGCATAGATAAGTCATGAATCTAGTGATGGAAACATATTTAATATGAATGTTTGAGTTTATTTACAAACTACAGATTGTTAAAAAAATAAAACAATTGACAAAAATATTCCAAAATTAATTAATAAGAAAAAGAATAAAATAAAACAATTGACAAAAATATTCCAGAATTAATTAATAAGAAAAAAAATAGTAAAATAAAGTATCATCAAGAATTAATGTTATTGTTAAAAATCTTGATATATTATCAAAATTTTATCTAAGATCTCATATCATCTCAAGTCACTCTTGATTCGTTAGTGGTTTGGTTGTTTCAACATTTCATTAAAGTTATCGTTGGTCCTCGTACAAGGGCTGAGCACTATTTGGTACCATTTTTTAGTACAATACGAGAATGAAGGATCGAACTCACAACTTCTTGATTGGAGATATATGTCAATTACCACTAAGTTATACTCACTTTTGCTAAATTAAGTTGTGTTAGACAATGGTTTATACGACTTTTGAGTTTTTTTAAAATAGTGATATATATATATATATATATATATATATATATATATATTACTTGTAATTGCACTTGTTTAATTATGTTAATGATAAATTGTATAATACTATTGTTGGAAAAATTATGGATAAAAGTTTGACAAAATTAAACCAGGTTAGGTTAAGCAAAGAATATACCGAAGAAGTTAAGTCGTTCATTGAATTGTCAAAGAAGTATATTGATGAGAGGTTTTACACGTTACCGATACAAGAAATGTCAAAATTTCGAAATGAAACGACCAAGATGCGATGTCAAAAAAAGTCATTTATACTCACATAGAACGTTTCCTTTTATCGTAGATGGATGGAAACTTCAGATTTTGTCTGCTTAGTTATATGGATATATACATAACCCAAAATATAGAGTAGATAAATGTTACATAATTTGACAAGTGAGGGATACACACTGAATATCATGATGAATAGCATTAAATTAGGAGTGAATCAAGTGATAATAGGCAAAGTGAAAGTACGAATGTTTGATGAAGTTAACCAAAAATTATACTATGGATATACAAAATTATCGAGACAAACACTCTTGGTTGAGTTTATGTATATCAAAGTAGCTAACTATTGGAGCAATAGTGGCTTGAGATTGGGGTATATTATGGAGTTGAATTGTGGGAGGGGGTAGATGGTGCATTATGAAGTTTCAGAATGTGAAGTTTATTAGGCTTTGTTGTTGGAGATTGAGACCTTGATGTTATTGTTGGAGGAGTTGCTTTTGATTGTTGTTTGTGACTTATGTTTGATATCTATTCATTAGGAGTTAGGATTTGTGAAAGGAGGTGAATGGTGGATTATGGAGAGTTTAATATTGAATGTGAAGTTTGTTTGATTTTGTTGTAGAAGCTTGTGACTTTGATTTTGTAGTTAAAGAGTTTGATTTTGATTACTGTTTGAGTTTGTTGTTAGTATTGATTGGTCATAGGTTCGAATCTTATTTGGAGAGATTTGATTCTTTCTTTACTTCCGTCGCTCAGTGCATCCCCACTACCGACCCTATTTGAGATTGAGGTATTATGGAGTTGAGATTGTGAAGGGGTGGATCTGCATTATGGAGTTTAATGTTGAATTTGAATTAGTTTGTTTGGCTTTATTATTGGAGCTCGAGACTTTGATTTTGTTGTTTGAGCTTTTGATTTGATTATTGTTTGATTTCATTGGTAGTGCCTTATTTTTCAATGGAGTTGGCGTATGATGGAGTTGAGATTAGTGTCCAATTATTATTAGAGTTGCATATTATTACATCTAAGAGTAACTTAATACTTGCCTTAACATTAATCAAGTGAAGAGGCCATATAATAACTCAAGTAACTAATCCTAATGCTCTCCCTCAAGATGGAAGGAGAATATTTGAAACTCCCATCTGGGAAGAAAAGGCAGGGTAAGGAAGAGCTTTAGTACAAATATCTGCAAGCTAAAAATTGGTCCGAATAGGAAGCAATCGAATGATGCCAGCATAAATCTTCTCTCGCACGAAATGACAATCGAGCTCAATATGTTCCGTTCGTTCGTGAAAAATAGGATTGGTGGCAATGTATATGGCAGCTTGATTATCACAAAAGAAAAGAGCAGGAGACTATGTAGAAACCTGTAAATCAGCCAAAAGATTGAACAACCAAACAAGCTCTCCTGTAGTTGCAGCAAGGGCCTGATATTCAGCCTCAACAGAAGACCGAGACACAGTGTTCTGTTTCTTCGCTTTCCAAGAAACCAGAGAATCGCCAAGGAAAACACAAAAACCAGTGGTAGACTTTCGAGAATCCAAACAAGAAGCCCAAGCAACATCGGCAAAAGCCCGAAGTTGAAAAGAGGAAGCCCGCTACAGCATAGTACCCTGACTAAGAGAAGATTTTAGAAATCGTAAGAGATAATGAACTGCATTAAGATGTGGCTATCGCGGTTGAGACACAAATTGACTCAGTTTGTGAACAGCAAACGTGATATCAGGCCTCGATACGGTGAGGTACAAAAGACGACCAATAAGACACTTATAAACAGAAGGATCAACCAATAAAAAACCATCAAAAGCACTTAATTTGAGATGTGGATCCATGGGCAAATTAGTCGGTTTACAAGCCAAGAAATCGGTGTCTTCAAGCAACTGAATCGTGTATTTGCGCTGAGACATAAAAATTCCAGCAGAGGAACGAGCCAACTTCAATCCCAAAAAGTACTTCAAAGAACTCAAATCCTTCAACTTAAAGATAGTATGAAAGTGAGTTTTTAAAACATCAATAGCAGATAGAGAAGCACCAGTGATTATTATATCATCTAGAGCCAAAAATGAATCACCAGACCCTTTGACAAAAAGGGAATAATCTGATTTTGCTTGCTTGAAGCCCAGCTGCAGTAAAGTATGCGAAAATTTGTCAAACCACTGTCAGGATGCTTGTATAACACCGTAAATGGACTTATGAAGCCGACATACTAAACGCTCCCCCTGAGAAGCAACAACATTGTGCTTGTAGCCTAACGGCAAATCCATATATACCTCCTCAAAAAGATCGCCATTCAAAAAAGCATTGTTAATGTCTAGCTGCACCAATGGCCAATTCAAAGAGACAGTGATGGTAAGCAAAACTTTGACACTAACAAGCTTGGAAACGGGAGAGAACGCCTTGATATAGTCAAGGCCTTCCTGTTGAGTGTACCCATTTGCAACAAGTCGAGCCTTATAACGAATGATACTTGATCTTGTACACCCATTTGCAGCCAATAGAATGATGTTCAGAAGGTAAAGGGACAACGAACCAACTATGGTTTGCTTCCATGACGTGTAACTCAACATGCATGTCATCACGCCAATGAGAAAAGGGAACGACCTGGTGATAAAACTGAGGCTCAAAATTAGTAGATATGTTCAAAATAAAGTTCTTGTAAGTCGGTGACAATTTGTCATAGGACAAAAATCTGTGCAAAGGATACCGAGACTAAATAGAAGGCAAAGGGGCTAAAGTAAGCAAATTGCAATGGTAATCCTTAAGGTAAGAAGGAAGTCGAGAGACCCGCTGAGACCTGCGAACAGGAGGTTATTGAATCAAAGATCCATCGGGCACAACATCATTATCCACAATAGAATTCAAGCCAGCAGTAGGCACGAAGGAATTCTCTACAACAACATCAGATGAGATATCAACATGGCCATCAGTATGTGAAATATCAATAGCAGAAGATGGCATATTGGAAGCATCGACCAAAATACCATCAATACCATCAGACATATGAAGAGAGTTCATATCAGGGGATGATCGAACATCCATAACAGGGCTAGCCATAGCAGTGACGGGCTGTGAACTGTCAGAAACGGTAGGATTGCCAACAAAATCAAAAGCTTTTGGCAAAACAATGTCCGGGAATGGGTCAATAGAGTCAGTGGACAATGATATTGAACTAAAAGGGAAGATGTGCTCATGAAATATAATATTCCTGGAAAGATAAAATTTTTGTTTTCAATATCAAACCATCTATATCTCTTAACTCCTGGAGGATACCCAACAAAAACAAAAGGAACAGCCCGTGGATGAAACTTAGAATGGTGAGAAGAAGTGGTAGAAGCAAAACATAAGCAACCAAAGGTACGTAAAGCAGCATATTCAGCCACTTTACCAAATAACTGAGAAAAAGGAGTTTGCCAGCCCAATATTGACGAAGGAGTTCGATTAATCAAATAAGCAGCCATGAGAATACATTCTCTCCCGAATGTAATAGGCAAACAAGACTGAAAATATAAGGATCTGGCAACATTTAACAAGTGTTGGTGTTCTCGTTCTACAACGGAATTCTGTTTAGGATGTTCGACACAAGAATATTGATGAATAACTCCTTTGGAAAGAAAAAAACTCAATAAAAGATAATTCTGGAGCATTATCTGATCGAAATTACTTAATCACCTTTCCAAATTAGGTTTCAACATACTTAAAAAATTGAGGCACAATAGTAAGAGCGTCCGACTTCTTTCTCATCATGAAAACCCATGTAAAACGAGAGAAATCGTCAACAATGGTAAGAAAAAACAGGTATCCACTATGAGTAGGGGATTGGTAAGGCCCCCAAGTATCACAATGTATAAGATCAAAGGAACATTCAGCAATGTGATTATTCGAAGTAAAAGACAAGCGACGTTGTTTTGCCAGTGGACATATCAATCAGGGGTCATCGAAGCTATACATGAATCTAACGGTAAAACATCTTTAAGAGCATTAAGATGCTTAACGGACGGATGACCAAGTCTATTATGCCAAATATTAACAGAATGCAACTGAGTAACAACACATACAATATTGGAAAAACAAGCAGAATCGGTAGGGATAGCAGAAAACAGATAAATTCCATGCTAATAGCTACCCTTGCCAATCGTCTTCAAAGAGAACTTGTCCTGAATTAGACAAGAATCACCAGAAAATTGAACAATCGGTGATGAATTCCTCGTTAAAGCACCAACAGAGATCAGATTGAATCGAAAATGGAGAACAAAAAGCACATTCTGAAGAAGAATATTCTCAACAAGTTGTATATCACCAACAAACTCAACATGTACTCGAGAATTATCAGGCAGCGTAACATAAACCCTAGAAACTGATCTCAAAGCAATAAAGGAATCACGAGAGTAGCAAATATGTGTAGAAGCGCCAGAATCAATCACCTACTGATTTGCAGAAAAACCAAAATTGTGTAAAGTAGAAAAACAGGTACCTGCAACGTGTGAAGTACTCTGATCAGAATCAGTTTTGACCTTTGCAAGATGAGACTGAAGAAAGGCCAATAATCCTTTGCACTGGTCGGCACTTATATTTGAAAGAGAATCAGGGATAACAAGAAGAAGACTTCGAAGAGGATTCAGCAGCCTTAACAGAGGAAGTCGAGTGTGGCTGACTATTCCAATTGTCGGAAGTACGATAACCAGGAGGGTAACCATGGAGCTTGTAACAATGATCCACAGTATATCCCGAAAGCCCACAGTGAGTACAAACCGGTTTTTCCTTCCGTTTGCCCTGATTCGAAGAGAACGATCTATTTGGAGCAAAACTCGAGGAATTCGAAGCTTGTGAAGAACCTCGAACTAAAAATGTCATCGAGGCTACAGAAGAAGGCGCAGAAGTAGAAGAAACTGATGAAATAGCACGCTGTTGAACCTCCTGCGAAATCAGCGCAAAAACGCGATTGATCATTGGAGGTGGTTCCATAAGCAACATCTGAGCCCGAATTTGACTAAATAGTCATTTAGTCCCATAAGAAAGCACATGACGTACTCAATTTGAAAGTACTCAAGAAGAGATTTAACACCTCCACAAAGGAACAATTTTGGCGATAAGCAGAAAGTTCAGCCCATAAAGTCTTCAATTTCGTGAAATACGAACTAACAGATAGCTGGTCTTTTTGCTAAATTAGAAATATCACGACGAAGCTGAAAGATTCGAGGATGATTTTGCCGATGGAAGCGTTCCTTCAAATCGAGCCAAATATCCCTCGCGAAATCGGCAAATAGAACACTGGCCGAAATTTCCTTCGAAAGAGAATTAAGAATCCAAGAATATAACTACATTGTTTCAGATAATCCAAGAATTGAGAGATTCGTCAGTAGGTCGTGGAAGTTAGCCATCGACAAATCCAAATTTGTTCTTCACCGTAAGTGCAATAGTCATCGATCTACTCCATGTGGTATAATTCTCATCATTGAGTAGTTCAGACACAAGGACAAGGCTAGTGTTATCTGAATGGTGAAGAAAGTATGGATTAAGATATTGCTCAAGTTGAGCATGAGAGGATGAAGATTGAGTTGCCGTAGGGTTTACGAACTCGTCTTCAGCCATGGCAAGAAAAAAGAATGGCAGGAAAATCAAGAAAATGATCTTGGGAAAACTGCTAAAGAAAAAACCCTCAGGAAAGCAGTTACGAATTTGACATCTGATACCATACTACATGAGTAACTTAATACTTGCCTTAACATTAATCAAGTGAAGATGCCATATATATAGGCCATACACGATCAAAGATGTAAAGGTAAAAGTAAATGTTTAGTTACAAAATAATAACTAGTAACTAATCCTAATACATATTATGATTTGTTAGTTCCTTAATTTATCATGTTACCTACACAAAGCTCACTATGAATTTTGATTGCCTGCAATTATTTGTGTAGGATCGAAACATTTTGTTTTCAAAAAAATATCAGACATGATAATCGTGTCGTCATATTTTGCACAGTGATCAAAACTTTGGTAACTTGTCAATGTTGTTAACCTAGCTATGATATGTACTCAAACAATTTTTAGTTTATTTCTCGGGCGCATATTATTATTATGAATTTATAGTATTGTATGTTCTTGATTTTGAGTCCATTATTTTTATAAATTAAAGTCAAAAGTGATTTCTTTTCATTTTGTGAACATTTATTTCCCTTGTTTCTTTTTCTTCATCATATTTTAGAAAATTGAAGGAGACATAGGTAAGGAGAAGGAGACATAAGTAAGGAGGTTGAGCTGATAAAATTTGAACTTTTTTAAATTTCACGATGAAAATATACAATGTGGCTAACCATTTACAAGAAGAAAAGAGGAAAGAGGAAGAAATGATAAAAGGGGAAGGGGTGTGGAAACTACATCGCAAGTAGCGATGAAAAATTGATATTTGTCATTTTTCATCGCTATAGTGACTAAAAGTAATCATGATGAAAGACACTTATCATCGCTACGGTGACAAATTGTTTTCATCGTCATGGCGATGAAACATTTTATGTCGCCGAATCTCTATTCCAACTGCATTATGTAATTGGTAATGTGTCAAAAAGATTTCCATCGTTGATAATCAATAGCAACAAAAATTTAGTTTCAAACAATAAAATTAAAACATCCTTAAAGTTCATTTCTTCTAGTGAAATTATCCTTCATTTATATTGTTAGTTTTAATTTGGTCACCAACCTAAGCATTAGTTTAACTGATTAAACATATATTTTCTACTAAAAGGTCAGAAGTTGAAATCTCACCTTACATGTTGTTGAAATAAAAAAAAATCAATTTTATCCTTAATTTTTTAAAAGTTTCAATATTACTTCAACCTCTTAATTAAAAATAAACAATAAATAATAACAATATTCTTTTTAAAATTTATATTATATAATTGAAACTTAAAAATTGTTAAAGGTCAAAATTGAAACCATCTAAACTATAATACTTCGTGCTAAAACATTAAAAAAAGTATTTTAATGAAAATTGATAACCTATGATTCTTTTGAATCAAATTACAAGATTGAAGATAAAATCTATAGGTGAATGTTAAATATTAAGAGAAAAATTAATAGCAATTATACTATGTGGGCAATTCTGTAACTTCACACCTACCCTTTTGTGTATGTTAATTATCTGATCTCTCTATACGTTTCTTTTTAATTTCTTCATCCCAAAGAATGAAAGAGAGAAAAAAAAAATGTATGTAAGAAAAGGGAAGGGACATTATTGAAAGAAGCAAAGAGAAGAAGAATGAACAAAACAAGAGGAAAAAAAGCACCAAGATTTTCCACTTTGATAACATTTGGATCCTGTTAAATGATATCTCTTTTACGTTATATAATGTCAGACAGTCAAATCATTTCATGTACAGTCAAAGCGAATATAGTTTAGTAGTAATTGACATATGCCTCCAATCAAGAGATAGACACTCCCAATTTCAAAGATCAAAAATGTATTTTTCTATTTTTTTAACTTAATCAACAATAATTAACATATATATCTAATTAAGAGTTGAGTTCGAATCTCCGATGTGGAAGAACAACGTCAACCGCCAATAACAGCCATACTCTTCGACTCTCTCTCGCAAATTTCACTCACTTTCTTTCTTTCTTTCTGAGATCTCGAAAGGAGGAACAAGTCTCTAAAGTCAATTTCTTCCGCCAATTCGCCAATCGAAAAATTCTTCAATTTCTTCCGCCAATTCGCCAATCGAAAAATTCTTACTTTGTGGCTGACAAGTCCGATTTTAGTGATCCAGAGGAAGATTTCAGCTCAATCCGTGTAATCTGTAATATCCTCTTGTTGCTTAGATTCTTCCAAACCAATTAATTGCTATAGTTCTTTGTTTCTCATAGTATTGTATTGTATTGTATTGTATTGTATTGTTTATCATGGGTGACATGAAGGACAAGGTCAAGGGTTTCATGAAAAGGGTTAATAATTCCTTGTCCTCGTCTTCTTCTGCAAGTTTCAAGGGTCAGGGAAGAGTTTTAGGATCCTCTTCTTCGGGGTCGACTACTTCTTCTTTGCCTACCCGCCCATCGCAAAATCCCATTTCAAAACCCAAGCTGGTTCATCCTCCTTCAGATTCTACCGTAAATTCCAAGCCTCCGTCTTCAAATTCAACCGGCGCTGGTCAGATTAGGTCAGAAGTGCCTAGTAAATCGAACCCAGATCGAAAACCGCCGGCCGATGAATTTGACCCATTTGACTCGTTTATAACGTCTGGGAAAAGATCTGGAAATGGGTATTCATTAGATGTGTTTGAATGTCCGATTTGTGGCCAAAGTTACAGGTCTGAAGAGGAGGTTTCTGTGCACGTAGATAGCTGTGTCAATAATAACACAGCCGATAGAGCAGAGGATCTGCCCACGAGTAATTCGGAATCTCGGAGTGAATTGGAGACTTGTGTTGGCACTTTCATATCAGGGAAGCCATCACAAGGTTCATTGGAAATTGTGCTGAAGCTTATGAGGAACATAGTTCGGGAACCAGAGAATTCAAAGTTTAGGAAGATTCGTCTGAGTAATCCCAAAATTAAGGAGGCAATCGGTGAGGCTGTGGGGGGAGTGGAATTGTTGGAGTTTGTGGGTTTTAAATTGCAAGAAGAAGATGGTGAAATGTGGGCAACCATGGAAGTTCCAACAGAGGAAGAGATTTACAGATTATCTAAGGTCGTTGATTTTATTGAACGGCCAAAGCTTGATGAACGGCAAAATGAAGGCAGCTCTGCATCTATGGCTTCAACTCAGGTTGATGAACTGATTGAACCAAAGAAGGTAGACAGACAGGTACGTTTACCACTACTTTCTATGGCCTTTAGGAAACCTGTCTTTTTTGTATGTTTATCATTTCATATTTGCACTAAGATTTGTCCATTTTGTTTCTTGGAAAGTTTCCATTACAATTTAGTGAAACTGAAGAAAATATATTTACATGTTAACATTGAAGCACACTTCATATAGTAGGGTTGTTATGAGCAGTAAGAATAGTTAGAACTTTTGGTTTGTCTCTGTTGTGAATATATTTGTTTCAGGATATGTTTAGTTTGTGGCTATAAGTAACAGCATAAAGTAGCTATTCAATTTACAATACATCCCAATTATGGTACAGAAGTTATGGATATTGTCCTTAAATTGCTCTTTTTAAGCGAATGGGAATTTGCTTGGTCCTTGATTTTTGCTCGGACTCCTGTCATGCTTTATAGCTTTTACAAGCCACTGCAATTTAGCCCTGTTTAGACATTGATGATCTATAAGAAACTGGAAGTCCAAATGCATAGAAACTATCTTTGAGGCGGCCAGAAGTCTCTTAAAAAGAAGTTTATGTGGATGGAATATATCTAGGTGCTTAATTTCATAGTTGCTTACACTGGTAAAAATATGAATTACATCAGTCAATATTTG